CACACACACACACACACACACACACACACACACACACACACACACACACACACCCTCCCGCCTGCAGATGGGTGGCTGCTGTCTGCATTCAGACAGCTCTAATGCCATTTGGTTTTCTAGTCTAATGGCCTCGGCGAGCCGTGGAGTGCACAGATGGCCTCACAGGTTTAGGCTGGGCTCTTAATTCCAGGAAAGCAAAATGGGAGGGGTTTCTAGGCTAAGGATGCTACAAACAAGACTGGAGAGATTCAACCTGGAAGTGCTGGGAAGAGAAGTTCTTGCGGTAACATCAAACCTTCACACAAGTCCCTGGGACTGGTCTCTGTCTTGAGCCCTGGGAGGTGACAGGCACTGATTTCATCCCACAATTTCCATGGCACCTTTGGCCACCAACAAAGATGCAAAATTTTGATTATACCAAAATAAAAGGCACCCATACTCTTTTTTTGTTCAAACCAAGGTGTTTGGGGCAAAATGAAGACAGTATTAAGACCCCGTTGGCCATTTAGAGTCACACAGCATCAGCAGTCCTAGAAGCCAGCCTGCCAAGCCCTTCGGCCTTGCTCCTCAGGTGCATTTCATTCTCTTGGACTTTAAGACTACTCATGATGTGTCAGATCAAAAGAGGACAGTGACCTAGCCAACTCTCAGAGAACCTAATTTTGTAAAAAAAAAAGGAGCTAGGAAGGAAGATGTGTGGGGGTGGGAGTGGGGTGACGGAGTGTAGCAGGTCATTTGGAAGATGTCCCTTGTTTGGTGTCACTGACCAGCAGTCATTAACTCTGAGGCAGCTTGCTCCTCATTTTTTGGACTCTGGATATTAAAAAGTTTTATTCTAGGCCTTAATTTGAATGTCTTCAAGAAACTGCTACTTATTAGCCAATCAGTGTTGATAAGGAAAGGGGCGAGGAAGCCATGGCAGGGTCACGCTAATACCAGAGCACCAGAATCTCAGGCTCCACAATGCCTCCACTTCCTTTCTATGGTAGAGGGACAGCAGAGTTTGTACAAGGGTTCAGCACAAACCCTCGGAACTCAAGCAGGGTGCCTTCGAGACCCAAGAGCTAAGCGCTGCAAGAACAGAGAAGAGCAGGCTTCGCGGAAGCCACTGCAGGGTGGTGGGGAGGGCTGGGGCCCAGCACTCCACAGTGACGCACTGCCTGAGGACTCAACTGCAGAGATGACACTGAAAATGGCTGTGGCACTGGGATGACCCTGTGCGCCTGAGAACAGCAAGCCGGTTGGCAGTGACTCAGCACAGTAAGACTACACATTCCCAAATACCAGTATCTAGATTCTTACAACAATCATTCTGGGGTTTTTCCTGGAAGGAAGGAAGGAAGGAAGGAAGGAAGGGAGGGAGGGAGGGAAGGAGGGAGGGAGGGAGGGAGGAAGGAAGGAAGGAAGGAAGGTAGGTTATTCTGAGGCAAGTACCACCTACACTGTCCTTGACTGCTGAGCTGGTTTTGTGTTTTGAGGTGGGGGTATCTGTGATGTACAGGAATATTTACCGGGCGGGGTGTTTTTAATCAGAGTGATCTCCTTGAGCACCCTGGCAGATGAGGTTAGGAACTTCTAGCTCATGCCAATTCCGTTCCCTTGAATGCTCATAGGTAATTGTAATGTTTCGCTGCTGTGAGGTACATGTCACACAAATCACAAAATTAGCTCAACCAGTGACTTTTTGGAATGGAATCAGAAGCAGACCTGAACCTCTAATGGACACAGCAGTTGCTCAGCAGCTGGGAAAGTAAGAAGTGCTGTAAGTCGGACATCCACATCAAGGCTGACAAGTCCCAAGGACCACACCTCTGACCTGCGGGCATGGGGAGGGGCCACAAGGTAACTTATAGAGGCAGCAGTAATGTAATGGCCATCTTCCCAGGACCACCTTCCTGACACAGACACCTGCTGTCCATTTCACTGTAGGTATTCCAGAGGAATTGAACTGAAGCATCCCCAGGAATAGAAACGCTCCCTCACCTCTCTGTGCATCTGTGTGCTGAGGGAAGAGGGCTCTCTAGACCTCTCTAGGCTTATACTCAACCTCAGCCTTTCCATATACCAGAGCTGGAAGCAGCATGTTGGTGAGTGTTCTGGGTGAGAGGAGACACCTATAGAAAGGGTGAAGACAGGCATGCACACACACACACTCGGCTACTAACTAATCCCAGTGTCCAGCCTGAAAAAGACGGGGCTCTTAAACTCAAGTAAGCCTCACCTGAGTCTTGAGCCTCACAGGCAGAAGAGCTCATAAAAGGCCACTTAGCACTGGAAGCTGCTGGCATTCCGGTGGACCCTTCTGACGTTCTAATTGAATCAAGGCTCCTGCAAAGGGTGACTAGAAAAAAAAGAAAAAGTCCAAACTAAGCATCAGCTGGAGAAGGGCTAGTGAGTTCTGCAGTTCCTAGTCAGGAGGACACTACAGGCTATGAGGATTATATGATGCCCACCTGAAGGCACAGGTGCATAAAGGAAAACTAACTGGGGGACAGAGAACATGGCTTCAGAAGAGCCAGGAACCCACACTGACAGCAGAATAGCTGTAGGAGGCCTGTGTTGGCTGAACAAGCCAGATGTGAGTGAGCTGGGGCATGTGCACTGGAGTCCACGCATTCCCATGTGAGGTCGATGTGTGTGTGTGTGTTCCTGTCATGTTGTCTGTTCTAGGTCATATGGTCCCATAAGGAAAACACAACTCAACTGTAGACTTCCATGCAGCAAATACTTTCTGATGGTTGTGGCAGTGGAAATAATCAAGTTTCCAAGGAAAAGCCTGAAAATCCCAGGAAGCCCAGTTAAGCAGCAAGTGTCCCCAGGAAAGTGTCTGGCTGTCACGGAAAGGGTGGGGACCAGGAGGCTCTGCCAGAGGCTGCCTCAGTCTGAGATACTGACTAGTTTTGGGCCAAAGTAGAATAAGTTGAAACTGGACACAAGAGGTTTAAGAGGATTTGGAAGTCAGATGCAGCAGTAAGCAAAGCCTTCCATTCTGGACCTGATTCCCAATGCTCTGTCACTCGGGTGAGAGAGGGATCCCATATCATGAGTTTGGTTTACTGAGCTGCTGTTCCAAATGTTCTCAGGAGTGTCAGTGCTCAGAGGGGATGGGGACGGCTCTGCTATTCTCAATCACATAAAGGACAGACCTCCTCTTAATTATGACCATGCCAATCTACACCCTGCTAAAACAGCTAATTACATGTCAGGAGGACACTCAGTCATCCGGAACAATTGCCATTATACTTTTATATATTCATTCTATGCCATTCCCCCTCAATTACCATGGTTACAATTTGAAAAAAGACTCTGCCAAACCTTCATTTGATCACAGCACAGCATCGTGAATCTGTGAGTTAATTATGGCTGTATGGAGCCAGTCTTACTTAAAGAGAGGAACCATGGACATGCAGTCAGGGGAGCTGGCCTCCTGGGCATTCTAAGTGGGGCATCAAGCTCCCCAACAGCAGTGCTTGGAGCTGTACATCCTGAAGATTGGCCACAGAAAGGGCTTGGCAGCCAAGGATGGCAGCAAAGTTCCCCTGCTACCTAGTGGGAAGCCCCGCCAGTGGAGAAGGCATTCACATCTCACTGAAGTTGGACCACCTAGATTTAGTTTTGCCTGGATGCCAAGACTGGTAATGCAGCTTGGGGACATTTCCATCGGGAATCACAAGGCAACCAGCAGGTTGGAAAGCTGAACCTTCCTTCATTCTTCTGTCAGTCTTGTCCTCTCTTGGTTAAGGAAGAAAACTAGTGTTGTGAGGGTTTGGGTGGCTCAGGTTGCTGACTGTTCTTTTTTTCTCTTTACTCCCCCCCACCCCCACCCCCCACACACGGTGTAATGAAGTATCTACAGAGACTTCTCAATTCCCAAACTCCCAGCTTCTCCCAGTCCATAGATAATGCACAAAGCTTCCTTTGAAGCATGCCAGTCCTATATGTGGCCATAAGAAGTAGTGTCTCCCATTAAGTTTAGGAACAAATGGCACTGAGAAAGTCTTTTAGAACGTACTCTATGAGAGTTTGCAAGCAGAACACTGACTTTATGATGTGATGGGCCTCAAAGCCCTCCCTACGGCCTTCGTATGTCAGTTCCCTAGTGCAACAAGGAAATCACCCTGCCATCTTTGAAATGGAGGAGTGTAATGAAAGAAGCTATGTAGGACAGAGCATCTGTTCTGACCACATGCTACCATGAAAGCCTTAGAAAGCGCTGGCCATGTGTGGTTGCCTCCCTGCAAAGCTTTGCACTGTTGTCGGGTGCCCACTGTTAACAGTGTCACAAACGATAGGGAGACAAAGGAAAAGGATTTTCACAGCCACAGTGCAGCTTGTTAACTCCAGCATGGCTGATAACCGGTGGCCCAGTCCTGAGTAAACACATTTGCAATGCACCGAGCACACAAAGGAGTGCTGGACATGTGCAGTTCCTACCCCTGCCCCAGTACATTCCCACCCAGCCCCACTCACACACACACAGCAGGACCGGTCGATGTGCCCAACCTTCACTTTTAAAAAAATAAATTCGGCTCAGTCATGCTGTCCGTGGAGTTGTCTAGTCTCAGTATCGCCTCAATAAACACAGTAGTAAAACAGCTAATAATCATAGCAAGAGGATGACGTCACAGAGATGGAGAGACAGATGCTCATGCAGGAGACAGACAACCACTGAGCAGGAGACCACAACCACACAAGAAGTTATTGCCTAAGAACTTGGTGAGGCCATTCTCTGAGCACAAGAGGAAGAAAGCTCTGGGCTAGAGCAAAGCTGGTTAGATGAAGTGCTGCTTCTAACCCTTCTAACCCTTCTTGAACCCAGGGAGAGAAAGGACTTGAAGGGAACACTTTTAGGGCAGGATAGAGAAGTCATTGTGGGAAGGGATTATTGTCACTGTGTAGACAAAGATAACAGGCTTAGCAGATGGAACCTTGGCTGCCTGTCACAGGAAGGAGGGCCTGTGCTCACAGAGGACTAGCACTAGCCCACTAAGCCTCTGCTCAGAGGAGAGAAAATGTCCAGCGATGGTCAGCTCAAGACAAAGCTGCAGTGCTGAGACACAGAATGGGAGAGAAGCCATGTGGAGATGAGCAGAGTGCTGGGAGCATCCTGATGGAACAGCATCTACTGGAGCTGGTGCCTGATGACTGGTCTGTAAGAGGAGTTTAAAGCAAGAGTTCCTAAAGCCAGAGAGAAGGGAGACGACTATATCAGCTTTCTATGTACCATCCCCATGAGGTAAAAACATTCCCAGATGTCTGCTCCTAAAATAATGGGTGTGGTGAGTGACAAACCTCCCAGGAACCAGAGTTCTGGAGCAGAGAACAGTAGTCCAAGCAGGCTCCCAGTGCACTCCTCTTTCTAAAGTCACCTACTGAGCTGGAGTGACACAGGCTGTCTGCCTCCTCATCCCAGGTTCTCTCCTCCTGTAACCTGCCTTATTGGGTGTTCAACACAAACATGCCTGCTGTGAACTCAAGTGTCTTCTGGGTCTGAGGGCCCTGCATAGTCATGCAGGAGAGCACTGTACTGCTCTTCCTGGCTGCAACTGTCTCAGACAGGCAAGAATATCTTAAGATGGTCCTTTGTTAACAGGTTGCCATGCTAGCCAGGCAGTGGTGGCGCACGCCTTTAGTCCCAGCACTTGGGAGGCAGAGGCAGGTGGATTTCTGAGTTCCAGTCCAGCCTGGTCTACAGAGTGAGTTCCAGGACAGCCAGGGCTATAAGAAACAAAACAAAACAAAAAACAAACAAACAAACAAACAAACAATCCAAAAAACAGGTCGCCATGCAAGGTACCAGAAGGTGGGAAATGACCTTCCTATCCAGCAACAGTGATTCTTAAATAAACATCACCGTACAGTCTACGAACGCCTGCTCCCCTTCCCTCCTCCTTCCAGTAGTCACTGGTGGAGAAGGTACTACCTAAAAGAGCTCTGGGACCACAAGAAATACAGAAGGGGATGAGAACATAGACAGGGAAAGCAAGGAGCACAAAGAATAAGTCTGACTGTGGATGTTCTGTGGCTATTCCAAGAGCTCAGGAACCAAGACTCAAAAGTAGAATCAAACCTGGTGACCTTGGGAAAACTGACTGATGGTAGATTTTGAAACTCCATCCCAAAGAAGCAAACTCCTACTGTAGGTGAGATAGCAAAAGCTCTGTATAAGGCTGTGAGTCTGTGGGCTCTCAGCACAGGGCCAGGCTCCATGGAATATGGTCTTGAGTACCACCACACTGGCACGCAAGGCTGGCACTGCCTGTACCAGCCAGGGCTTGGTATCCTTTGCTGCACTGCTCTCTAAAAGGCCCTAGGATGACAGAACACTTTGCTCTTCTGCTGCAGTCAGTGTTCCCTTAGAGACTGGAGCTGTCTTAACAGCTGGAGCCTGTTCCTTTAAGAAGGCAAGTGAGAACAAACAACACAAGCAGCCACACCATAAAGAAGCTGTCAATCATCATAATCTCATGGCAAATCATGGATGTGGCTTGTCAGAAAAATACACCCCTCCTCCCCCGTTCTTTCTGATTCAACTGAGAATAAACAGACAAAACTCTACCAAAATGGATAGACATAATAGGAATATTCTTTCCAAGTAAACAAAAGGAAAGAAAGAAGGCAATGCAATCTCCTAAGTGAAACAAACAAAAATCAAATAAACCATGCAAGATGCTGTAGGTGTGGGGGGCTCGTTCCTGAGAATAAGAAATGCTACTCTTAAATTTGTGGGTTCAAGTAATACAGTAAGAGAAGATGGCTCCATTCGACTTCAGTTCTCAGAGCTGGGAAAAATGCAGGTGTTTCCCCCTGAAGTCTACTGACAGGAGCAGGGCCAAGCCCTACCTAGTGCTCTTCAAAGTCACAGACGTAGGTGGGGTAGCATTCTCAGCCCCTCAATAACGACTTGACTCCTCACATTCCTGTAACCAAGACTTATACCTAAGGGATAATCCAGACAGAGTGTGCTCTGGTAAGACCAGCTAAATAAACACTGCGGATACCGAGGATCAGGCCAGCACACAGGGGAACGTGAGGAGGGTCAGCATGGACTCTCACAACAGTTTTGAAGTTGAACACACTTGGTGAGGAAGCAGGGGGTGAGGAGATGGCACCTACTTTCTATCTTAGAGATTGGTTCAGGCAATGGACAAACAGATGGAAGCCTGCTCAAAGGCCCACTCCACACTGCCCTCTAAGCAAGGCTTCTTCAGACACAACAGAGGGGAGATGGGAGGAGGCAGAAAAAGATCAGCCTCTCTCAGCACACACTGCACCAACTCACTGAAGGCTGTTTCCTCTTACCCACAGTGACAGTGTGCTATTTAATCAGGGCTCCAGGAGATCATTTTCACACAAGGCCAGCAGATGTAATTTTCTTTGATGCATGAATGGTTCATCATTTTGCTACTAGATGACAAGGTGACCACAGGGTGACTTTATAACGCAACTTCACTGTTTGGTATTTTGAGTTCTCAAAATGAAAAAAGATTTATCAAATATAAATATCTTTAAAAAGTAACAAAAGTGCTACATATGTGATCAAGGAAAAAATTCCATTAGTTACTGCCGCTTAAAGTAGATTAAACTACAACTATTACCGCTTCCATTATCAATATGGCTTCCAATTATTAAATAAATTGCCTGTAGCAATATAGCTTTTACACCTCCACAAGGACAGGAAAAGGGAACACAGCAGAGACATCCTGCTGTCCCACACGCTCATGATGTAGGTGGTAAACATCCCCTGCTTTTCCTGCCCCTAGCTAGGCAAGGATCTCCATCTGTGGCAGTCAAGTTGCCCCTGCAGAGTCCTAGCAACTCTGGGTGGGCTTCAGGTGACAGGTACAAAGCCTGCTCTCTCACTCACTCTGGACCTCAGCACTATCCTTTTTGATAGCAGGGAGGGGGCACCAACAGGAGGCAAAGCAACTTCCAAGGTAACTCCAGCACTTTCCCAGGCAGGCGCTGGTACCGCACTGTGGAATGTATAGCGGCTCTGAGAACTGGGCTCAGCATCCATCTGACATTCAGCTCATGCTTTTCCCTACTGCTCTCAAGCTGGGCTTTCCTTTTCAGAACTTGGTTTTTGTCCTTTTTGTTTTAGAATCGTGGTCCCAAAGGCAGAAGGCAGTATATTATCTACTAGGTCACATAACTTGTAAGAGAGAAGGATGTCTGTGTCGGGCATGTTAGCATTAACCAAGACCTGAGCTTGGGATTCCAATGACAGTCTTAACACAGCACCCAAAGAAGTAGAGCCTGGCCACACTGGGACTAGGAGGCACGGCTTATTGCAGCTGAATCAGTGAGTCTCACGCCGAGGCGGGGCTTTAGTGTCCCTTGTGCTCCGCTCCATGAATACTTCCCAGATGGTGTCTGTCGGCCCTGGGCCACTACCTCAGCCTGCATCCTATCAGTCTTAGGGCAGGGACGGGGTACAGCCTAGTGTTACAGGAATCTAAAGGTACCCAAGATTTTACACAGAGCCTAATATTTGAGAACTGAGGGTTATCTAAATACCTGGAAGCACTTTCTCGGAATGCTAAGACGGAGCAGCGAGATTTTTTTTTAGCCTCAGGGGCTGGGAGAGGGAAGTTTGTTTGTTTGCTTCTTACTTACTGGAATTTTAATACTGAGAGAGTATATGCAAAGGCTGAGGGCACCATGCCATCTTCACAGAACAAGACCCTAATGGCTACCTGACATACAAGAAACTGTAAGTTATACTGTAAGAACACATGTTAAGGACCGAGGAAAGTCTGCTAAGGTGCTACGTCTAAACTAAGTTAACTGTTTAACTCCCTGATCAGTCATCATCCAGGGCCTCTGTCTTGATTTCATTGGCTCCCTGCCGGGCCAATGCCAAGATAGTGTGGTTGACGGCGGCCATCTCCACAGCTAACGAGATGGGATCTTGGTGGTCACTATGGCTGGTGCTGTCATCCTAGACGTGTGGAGATAAGAAAGGAGCGTTATTTGTCGGCTGGCAACAATCTCAAGCTCACAGAAAGGCATGCGGGGGTGCCGTGCGGGGGACAGAGCATCTGTGGAGAAAATGGCTGAGTGCATCTCATGGTGGAGGTGAACTGTATTTAAGTAGACACTGAATGGACACAGGTCCAGACACTTTCCATGTTTTTGTGACTCAACAAATAAAAAGGACTTAGATGATTTGTTTTGTTCCTTTTTCACACAGTATTTATTCTATCAAAAATTGCTAGTGCTGATCAAACCTGAAGTGATTAAAATAAATAATCTGGATTTTTCTGCTTGCCACAGATACAACAGTAATCACTGAACCCAACCTAGTGCATTCCTAAATCCACAAAGCTACAGGGATCAAGGGTGTGTCCCTGCTGGGAACAGTAGAGGAAATGTAGAACAAGCACCTGTACTTTACAGATGAGGGACGGGTCCTCAGTCACACCAGTCGCAAGTGCAGTGTCCGACTTAGAGCTAAGGGAAGCTTTCCACCCTCTAAGCGACACACAGTAAACAGCTGCTGATGAGCCTAGGGCCACATGCCTGTGACCCCAGTACTCCCAGGCTGAGGCAAGAGACTGACTGCAAGTTCCAAAACCGAACAAAGCAAACCCAGACGACTGAGGAATAAAGCTGGGAAGGAGGCTGTCCTTGCAGGTGTGCTGGGCACTGAAGGCCAGCACAGATAAGGGGTGTTTCTCACCTATCACATCTTCAGGGGACTCTGTACCAAAGAGCTTTGGAAAGAGTAAATCCCTTGGGGGAAAAAGCATGTGATGTGCTGCCCTCAGGGCATCTGCAAAAAAAGATGGAAATAATCCATCTATGTGGGTTTGCTGAAAAATAACGGGAATGTTTCCAGAAAGAAACAGCACTCTCCCGAGCCAAGGGTGGAGCTGTGCTTGGAGGACTGAGTCTCTTGGGGGGTAATCTGCTGGGACACATGGGTGCTACTGTTCGTTCTGGCTTTTAGACATTAGCCTTTAGGATTTAAGAAGGAAGCTGCAGAGAATCACACCCCCTGCTAGAGTAGTGGACACATGAAGCCAATGAAAACGGAGAGAATGAAGACCATGGCAGCTGAGGACAAGGAAACTGCCAGAAGAGAGAGTCTAGGGAAAGGACCGTGTGTTCTTTGAATTTCCCAAATGGAAATAAAATTTGATCTTATACAACATTTTAATGAAATCTGTCAACATGTTTGAGGGTGGGGGGAATCCCCCAATTTGACTTATTCCATGCAGTGGCTACAATTAAATACACTTTGCCCAAGCAATGCAGAGCACACCAGGATGAGATGAGAAACCATGCAGGTACTGTATTAGGACAAGATGAGTCGGTGTCCAGAGAGAGTCTGGTTAACCACTCCTCTGGGCACGAGAGTTCCCAGTGTAATGGGGCTGCAGTGGGCGGGGCCTTTGTTGTGCCCTCATGGTCCACGGTAGGCACCATCACAGCTGCCCGCATGCCCCTAAGTGCTTCTCCAACACTGTGTGTGTGGTAAGTGTTGTAACTTGCTTGTTTGGGTCAGATCCTCCTCTCTTCTTCTACCTTCTCTGCTTCTCTGCCTCCCTCTGAACTTCTTCCCTCCTCCTCCTCCCCATTGCGTGCTTGCCAAGTGTCCTGTTGTGTGACAATAAACCCGTAGGGGTGGATAGAGATTACTCACAGATTTAACAGGACAACAGAATCTTACCACATTGCTTTCCAACCGCATGAAAATCTAACTAGACACATGAGCAGAGAGTGGAGGGACACCAGCTGCTCCCCCGACCTCCCCATATAACCACCCACAGACTTGCGTTGCCACCGCCCCCCTCCCCCAATCAGAAGCCACAGCCAACCACTCACCTGCTCAGAGTAGTCATTCCCGTCCACATCGTCACTGTTGGAATGGCCTCCTGGACTCTGTACATCTATCCCATGACTCTCCAGGATTGCTGCTTCTTCGAAAAAAGCAAATAGATCCCTAAATTATCTGCTGCCTCATCATGGCTGCGCCATGATTTTTATGGTGATCAGTCTCTAGTCATCTTTAGATAGGAGAAATTCAACTCTGTATAACTCAGGGTAGAGGTCCAACTTCTACGCACATTACACTACCAACCTGGTTGAAGTACCAACCAGACTGTGGGGTACTTCATAGAACTTATGATGTTAACAGCTGTCCTGGTGGGACAGTGCAAAGCATCTGAGAATTGGAATGGCAAGTAAGAAGTATATGTGCAAATGAAACGCAGTCATACTTCTCGTGGTGCTGGGCATCAAAAAGAACCAGGTTCTTTCTCTCACTGTGCCATCCCAGCCCAAGAAACAACTGCAGAAGCATCTTTTCTGCAAGCTCATCCATTGTGCCCTCATCCTTTTACTATAGTTGAGAATAGGAGTTCTTTGTTAGGTGAACACATATCTTCCCTAGGGTACTTTCACATGATCTCCATCCTCTAGCTTTACTAAGTTACTGTTGCCAAGGGAACTGTTTGTTTATGGTACACTCCACGGTGTATAGCAGTAACTACACTCTGGAAATGACTAAATCCATAGCTACATTTGTGAAATGGCCTTTAATGCTGCTTTTCCATGCTTCTCGTCTGCTGAATCTACTCCATTCTGGCTACTGATCAGATGTTTCTAAGTGTGGAGGTCTAGGTTGCACCAGTAACCAGCAGGCTGAGAGAGTCACAATTATTCTAAGACCCCACAAAACTCCTTAATCTGAGCCACACAAGTAACCCACTGTTCAGTGGTTAATTCTACATTCTAGACTATTAAGAGGAACCATCTTTATAAATAACAAAGTCATTCTTAAAATATAAATAAAATAGTGTAGGTAGCACTCTGACGGTGCTATTAAAAATGCAACGAAGAGGAGTGATGGTGTCCGCTGTCAGGCCTAAATACCGCCATCATTTAGACCTGTAGCTCATAACTGGCCACTCTTAGTGTACTTCTAACCTTCTCATGAGAGGAAGCAGTCTCTCTGATACATTACCGATATTGGCTCTCCTCTTGATCTCCTTCCGTCGATTAGCGAACCAATTATACACTTTGAGAGAGGTAACTCGTTCCAGGTCAGACAGCTTTTTGCCTGTGAATGCATGCAACAAAATTCAGATAATCTGTACCTTGGATCCAAGAGTGAATGTCCTTAAGAAATACTTCTCTGCTAAAAGTTGCTTTTGATTCTATTTATTATCAAAGTAACAAGATGGGGTATAATCTTTTCTACCATTCCTTAGTACTGAGAACACATTAAAAGTATCATGTGAACAAGCATATAAATAATTGAAAGCACAGCTAGCCACAACTAATAACACAATAAGCTTCAACTCAGGAAGACAATATTAAAAAAATTCTACAAAGTCTGTTTACTAGAGTTCTAAATCAGATTTTAGAGTTCCATGGAGGCACCATTTAATTAACTCACCAAGAGAATTGTTATTGTTATTATTATTGTTGTTATTATTATTCTGAGAGGGGGAGTTGAGATAAGGTCTCTCTGTCCTGGAACTTGCTTTGTAGACTAGATTGGCCTGGAACTCACAGAGATCTGCCAGTCTCTGCCTCTTGAGTGCTGGGGTTAAAGGTGTGCACAACTACCACCCAGCTGAGAGGGATGTTATTCTTTAAAGAAGTGTACAGATAATAGAAAATGACTTAGTGTCCTGGTGTTTAAGATGCATGTTCTACCTTACATAGGATATAAGATGCATGTTCTACCTTACATAGGATATAAGATGCATGTTCTACCTTACATAGGATATAAGATGCATGTGCTTTGAAGGCTAACAGCCATGTCCATACAGGGTTGTGACTGTTCTGAGACACAAGGTACCACTCAGATTAGATTCAGATTTATTGTCTTCTTGGCCACCACAGTTAATCCTATGGAGATACCATGCTAACTAGTAAGCAGCCATTTGCACAGCCTCCTCCTCTCCTGTCTTCTTGCTTTAAGCTTTTAATCTATGTGTTTTCCAGAGGAAGCAAATCCCTGCCCTGGGATTGTATACTATGTACACAAGGTATAGACCCCTTTGAGGGTAGAGTTGAGTGTGTAGGGTAGATATGGCTAGAAGTCAGTTTTCTAGATAAAAGAGATTAGCCCTCCCTTCACTGTATAAAACTGAGATTCAGAAGTCTTTAAAGTATCAAAACAAGTGGCCAAGCAGAAACTAGCTGGTTGTTTTAACAGAATGGGTACTTGTGCCAAATCTCTGAAATTTATGGTTATTTCAGAATTGACCAGTTTATGCTAACATTTATAATTTAAAAAAAATTAAGGCTTCAAATCTCATGGAGAGTCATTGTGTATGAGCACTTGATTCATGCCACAGTAACATCAGAAGTGCTATGTGGAGAACATTGGGCTGGGACCTGCATCACGAAGCGAGTGTCCAGACCACTGACCATAGCTGAGCGCACACCTTACCTGGCTTCTGTATGACTGCATTGCAAGCGTTGGCGATTTCTTCTCTCTTTGCTTCATCTGGGTACTGGTTCTCATTGAAGTAACTGCAGGGGCAACCGGCAAAGACACATTTACTTTAAAATGTGCTCACTAAATATGTCCTCTTTAAGACATAACTCTGCTGTATGCCAGGATGTTCAGAAGAACTTTCTGATAGAAACAGTCTTTACTGTGTTTAAGACGGTAACTACCACCTAGGTCCCCACTGTGTACCTGACAGGAAGCTGATGTAAGTGCGAGACTTGCCTTTCATTTCACTGAAATTACTAATTGTTGACTGGTGGCTACATGCTGCTGTACTGCATTAGATTCCTCTGAGATAAGTTATTGTTTTGAAGGATCCACCTGGTGATGATCATGTTAACTGAATTAAGCTAGTCATAGAAAGAAAATATCACACCTACTCTCACGAGTGGTTCTATTTATTTATTTATTTATATATTTAATATTGATATATAAAATTATAAATACACGAAAGACATGACCTCAGAAGTAAAACTGACTGGGGGAACCAAGAGGAATAATAGGAGAGGAAGGCTGAGAAAAGGAAAGACAGGGAAGGAAGGGGTAAGGTCAGTTACACTATGTATATGTTAGTTTAGTATACATGACAGAGCCACAAGAGCCATGCTACTGAAGACTAGTGTCAACACAACTTTTTCATTTCTGGCCATGTTTTTCTTTTATAGTAGCAAAAAATGGAAATTACCCAATTATCCACAAACGAGGGGATGACAGAACAAATTATGGGGCATCTATATTTATACTCAGCTATTTTAAAACAACTAGGAAGAAAATAAGTTAGCACTCTGTCCACTGACCTGAATGGATGTTCATAGCATGTTCCTAAGTGAGAAAAACAATCCACAGAATAATGCATAAGTCAAAATGCCAAGAATGGAAGATTCTTGATGGCATGTGTGCCAGCTCACATGAGTAACCAAGGACATGCACACAAGGCTGAGAACACTGACCACTCACTGCCGAGGAAGGGCTTAGTGGGGTACTTACACATCTCACTTGTGTAGGAAGTAGATACTACTCTGATTCAACAGTAGGCTTAGCAACATGAGGCTTGCTCAATCTGTTGTTAGCCTATCAGATGCATAGAATGAGAGGGGAACAGAGTGCTCATCATTAGTGCTTTTTCTGGCATCTATGAACTTAAAGAAAACTCTCATGGCTTGAGCCTGATTGTCACTGGATTCTAGTCCTGACCATTTCTTCCAAGGTGTCCCTTTCCTGAAAACCAGTCCTGTTCCCTCACCACACCTATCAGTACTGGCAAAGATCACCTGCACAGATGCCCCAGAGGCTCCTCCCCTCATAAGACCCCCAACCCGACCCCCGCTGCCCTTTCCTCCCTCAGTGTCTCTTCATGGATGGCATACCTTCATTCTGTCCGTGCTGCCTCACTTCTCCATGGTCTTTTCTAAAACATAAGCCTCACAACTCGTCTTTGCCCATGTTCTACATGTTCCCTTGCTGCTTCCCACAGTGTAAGCATTTTCTCCTGCACGATCCTTGGGTACCAGTGTTCACTCTAAGATGCTACCAAGCCACCACTCTCACAGATGTTCTGTGTCCATGCCATCTGGGCCTCTGTGTTTACTTGAACTAACTTTCTGTTAGGCCATGGCAGACCCATAACTTCACCTGGAGCAGACTCAGTAACCAGAAACACACTTCAATGGCAGGCAGGTAACTGAAATACACACGAACATCTGAATTGTCACTCAATTGCCTTGTTTACCTCAAATTCACCAAGTAGATATGAATTACCTAATATGTGCTTAGCACTGTAGGAAAAAAAAAAAAGAACTGGTTTCTGGCATCCAAGCACTCACAATGCACTTGAGACAGAGAGATATTTAAGTGTATTTGTGTGAAAGGCTTAGGATTTGTGGACAGCTCCTTGTGTTTAGGATTGTGGGAGGAGTCTGGAAAGACATCACAGAGAAGCCTGAGGTGGGCCTTGAGGACTGACAACTGTAAAGATGGCAGGGGAGGCCATGAGAATCCTAAGCATGGCAAAGAGCAGTGTGTTAAGAACTTGGGCTTCACAGATGACTCCATAGGATCACTGTTGGCCTCTATCGCTGCTTCAGGGGGCAAGCCTGCGATGCTCTGTCCTCTAAGAATGAAGATCAACAGCTGACATCAGTGGAGAGCCTCAGGGATTTTCAGATAGAACCCCACCTACTCTTTAGGAAGATAACACATCTTCAAACATACTACTCCAAATTCTACCTCCATGGCCTTAAGTTCTGAATTAGTTCAAATTAATTCAAAATTAGTTCTTCATCTCTGCAGTCACTAATCCTGATATTGTTTCTCTTCCTCTAAATAAAAAATAAATGTCTATTACCTCTAGCTACGTCTATAACTTACTTGAATGGAAGACAAGCCAAGCTCGACTGAGAAGAAGCTGCCTGGTGAGTTTTTCTGGTGCTTGTTCCTGCCCCGCCCATCTCCCACACAGCAGGCAGCACCTTCCTTTGACTCCCATCCTTCTCAGGATACAGTGTGTTCCTGAACACCACAAAACACAGCCAAGTGGTTTCCTTCCACTGCAATCTGAATTCTTTCATGCCTTACTCTGCTGAAACCTTTTCACTCTGAAGTCTCAGCCCTCAAAGCCACCACTGTCACTCTTCCTGCAGATGACCTTGCCATTGCTGTTATCAGCTTGCTGGATTTTTTTTAGCTTCTCAGCTGCTAAACTTCTCCAGGCCATTATTCATTTCTTTTCTCATAGCTGAGAAAACATAAATCATCCTCCTTTCCAAGGTCAACTTCTCTCCTTCTCCTTGATTGTATCCCCTCTCCTTTTCATTTTCTCTAATTTTCTTGCCGTTCTCAGCTTTTTTCTGCCACAGTGTAATAATCTTCTTTCACTGATTTTATGATGCACATTTCTTTATTATTTTGATCTTTGAAGTCAGGACACATTTCCAAACTGGTAGTATCTGAAAATTGAATGGCAGTGCTTTGCTTTTTCCTTCCTCACTGGCATGCACAATAAGGCATGCCTTACAATCAAGACTTTGCTAGACCGGATGGAATACACTAGCTGCTAAAACCTAAGGTTCCACTTAAGTGACAACTCTGTGGCCAGTATACCTTATAACATTTTAGCCAAATGACCTGAAAGCCCATGACGGGCCCTGGAGTATGTGATTAATATTCTCGACACATTTCTTTAGGCTATATCCCTGCTCAAACATTTTCAAAGGTTTACTATGGATGCTTAGAGCATGTCCCTCCCCTAATCGCTGCGGTCACTGCTACTTAGGTAAGAAGCCTGTGGCCCTTTCCTGGCAGAACATCTGCTTTTTGCCTCCCTCCAATGCTAATCTGTTCTATCTCCCAGGGCACTAGTTTCCTTTCCCCAGTGAGTCCTACAGGAGCTCATATGTCCTTCCTCATAGCTCTTCCATCTTGTACCTGCTCCTCTTCCTGAAGCCAGGGTGCAAGTCAGACTCAACCTCAGCCATCTCACAAATGCTGGGACTGCAGGCCTGGACTGCTCAGCCCAATACCAGAACACACAGCTGTCAGAAGCCTTTATCTCTGAGGAGCAAGACAGATGATTCACGGAGCAGGAAATAAGATACCAGTGACACGGTAACATGGCTGACACTCACAATCTACTTCATGGAATTCTCTGCAGAGTTTTTGAAATGAACAGACACCATTTTTTATAATAAAAGGACCTTAGGGAACACTGAAATAATTAAGAACTAGTTTGATGATTAATATAAATCTGAAAATAATTTATGCAATAAAGTGGATTGGGATCAGGTAGAAGGCATTACTGTTGTGACTGCAGTAACTACTAGGAAAAAAGCCATACTGGCTTTGGATGCTAAATTAAAAATTTTTCAGTTATTCATAGCATTATGTCTTCTACTGAATCAAAGTTTTAGTGTTCACAATTACTCTGTATTTCCAGACTTTGATTTTATGCAATGAAGACCAGAGTAAAGAAGACCCCAGGAACTTTTCCCAAATCAAGAGTATTCAGTCATATAGCTTAAACCTCATTTTTTTAAAAAAGTAACCTTTTCTCTGTTAAAAAAAAAATCTGTTTTTTTTTTAGTAAAATTATATCTATGAATGTTTGCCTATGGGTATGTCTGTGGATCATATGTGTGCTGTGCCTGCAGAAGTCAGAAGAGGGCCGTGGAACTTGGAACTAGAGTTATAGATAGTTGTGAGTTGTCATGTGGGTGCTAGGAAATGAACCTGGGCCCTCTAAAAGAGCAGCCGGTACTGTTAACTACAGACTAGCCCCTGCTGTTTTTATAATTAAGAAGTGTTCTGTTCAGCCTCACTGCTGAGCTCTGGCTAACATTTAAAGCATTAACACTAATTCTTCTTAAATCACTCCAAAAGCTAAAGAGGAAGAAGATTTTCTAAATCCGTTTTACAAGACTTGCATCGTCCCAATACCCTGAAGCTCACAGACACAAGAAAAACAAAATAAACAAATAAAAACCTCCTCCCATAGTGTGAAGGACAAAACTGTATGGTCATCTTACTGGGTGCACAAGAGAAATCTGGTAAGATTCCAATATCCGTTCATGGTTAGCACCTATCATTTCTTCAACAGGAGATGAGGTAAGCTTGTGATGATGGACGGGGTCGTATCCATCACTTCTTCTGGGGAATCTTAGGTTTTATCTAGCAATCACTATATTCCATTCAACTCCCACCAGTTAAAAAAATACTCAAACCAAAATCAAACAAATACAAGGCTTGAAGTCATAAGACCATTAGGAGGCAAAGTAGAAAGTGTTTTGGGACATCAGAATAAACAAGCATTTCCTGGCTAAGACTCCCAATACAACGGGAAAACTGGGTGACAACAGAGTGGACAGAGTGCTCTAGAATCAGAGAAAACACCTGACAAGGATAGACATCCAAAACATAAGGAACTCTCACCCCTCACTGGGCAGTAAGGTGTATGCCCACAGTGACTATCTAATGAACAAAAGCCCTGGGTCTTCCCACTATGTACTTGGTGAGAGGGAATGCTGCT